GGAGTTTGAGATGGCCAAGGAAGATATACGGCTATCTGGGACGTCGGTTGGCTTGACGCAAAAGTAAGAACTGCGTCTAATTAACCGTTCGAGGGTTTTGGCTGATCAAATTACAGCCTTATTTTACAGTACCTAAAATGTGGCAACCGCCTAAGGGCCCTCCAGGCATTTGCTAAAACCGTCTACGGGGATATCGGGTTGGTTGGAACTATCTATCATTGCAATAAAGCTCCTCTGACACGTTTATTTAGGTCTTGTTGCAAAACCCGGGTCGGGCTGGCGCATTGTATTCGGATTATTACCGTTGCAGTCCAGAACCGACTGGCGGTTCTTTTCACAAACATTCAAAGTGTCCTCCAACTTGACGATATTATCAGAGTCCCGACATTGATCCTTGAGGCATTACTGAAGATTGTAGAAAGGGTAAAGGACGCGAGACTAGATTTCCACTTATTATCCGCCACATTTGAGCAGATACAGCAGTCAGAATATAAGAGCGACTGGCTGCGACATCTGCTTTTGTTAATGCTTCAACGAATTACTCGCCCTTGGCTGACGATGGTATCGAAGGCCATTGGCGTTACGGTGGAGAAAACACCATTCGTGGATGATATTTTTGGAGACGAGAGTTTCTTCATCGAACTTGGTGACTCTGTCCTAGGGGAGGGAGAAGAGGAACCACATGCCGACTTGGTGAGTGCTCCGTCTCTACTTATCTCTACTTCACACTCTGACGATAGATTAGATATTCGCCTCTTCTAATATTCCGTCATTCCTCATGCTAGAAGAAGCAGAGCGAATCCACGAAACATCAAGGGGATTAAGATTGTTGCGACGGTTCCACCCTAACCATCCACTTTTAAGTGACCATGCAGTCGAAAGAGTAAATATGCGGTGGAGTTTTTCGTGGGATGAGCTGCAAACGTAAGAAACACAAGACCAACAGATTGACGCAAGGCTAATTATCTTGTAGAATCGACCTTGAAGCTGCAGCTCATGAGAAACGCCTCCAGCTCGCTATGCAAGCGTTCAACTTCACGAAAAGGCCCCGCTTCTCGAGGCTGCCCGTCATGCAACTTGGGATCTATGACGGGTTTTCGTTTGATTTTATCGGGAAGTCTGAGGAGGAAATCAATGCCAGCCTTGCCGCATCTCTGGAAAACATGAACTTCGAGCCTCAGCGAGTGTTTGGATTCGAAGGGGCAGCCGACGACAACTTGGGAAATGAAGCGCTGACTGTTGAGCCTATAACATCCAACCAACCGGTGACAGCGAGATACCCACCTCCCTTGTCGGTCACGTTCTCACTATCTATCAACCCGATCCTCCAGGCTCAAGCCCGGCTAACGAACATGGCATGTATGCGATTGCTTTTTAAAGAAAAGCGTGTACAAAACCAGTACGAGCTGCTCCATAGTTTCTTGCTCTTTGGGGACGGTGTATATGTCTCTCGACTATCGGCTGCACTATTTAGTGAAGAACTCGCAAGTGGGACTACAAATTCTGGTATTAGGTCAGGGATTGCAGCCGGAGGGTGGGGTCTACAACTTGGTGTGCGAAACGACTGGCCACCCGCATCGTCTGAATTAAGACTAGCTTTGATGGGGATCATGGCTGAGTGTTATGCAGGTGGGATAGGAAAGGGGACGGGCCACAAAGAAAACGACGACCTTCCAGGTGGCCTCAGTTTCTCTGTGCGAGAAATGACCGAAGAGGAGGAAGATAAGTGTAAGAATCCGGATTCACTTGAGGCATTGGATTTTCTTCAGGTTAGCTACCGGCCGAAAAGTCCATACGATGCTGTCATTGATTCAGTGAGCTTGGTCAAGTATGACCGACTCTTCAAACATTTGCTACGGATGATACGCATGGTCTACGTAGTCAACAGACTATTCGAGTATACGAATATCGGACGAGGGAAGGAGGAATCAGCAACAAATCCTATCATCCTACGATTCCGAATCGAGGCCCACTTCTTCGTCTCGACCCTCGCGAAGTACATGTTTGAAACAGGGGTAGAAACGGTCTGGAAGGAGTTTGCAAAAAAGCTCGACGAAATCGAACGTAGGCTTGAAAAGTACGATATTTCAGATAGATACGGGGAGATGGAGAGTTTGGGGCAACTAGCGGCATACCACAACAGCTGTCTTGACCAGATGCTCTTTGCAACAATGCTGCGTTTGAGACAGCAGCCGGTGTTGAATCTGATTGAAGAAATTTTTGGCATGGTTTTGAAGTTCGCAAAGATGGTTCGGTTGCAGCATATAGGAGCTGTGGATCCGTTGACGCCAATGGATAACTCGGCGTTTGGGAAGTTGTATGGGAAGTTCAGGAAGCGCGTTGGGATCTTTATCAATGTGGCCCGGGCGTTGAGCGAGAGACGGGGCTACGGTGGGTTGGCAAAAAGGGAGTCGGATCGGAGCAAGGATGCTTTCAGGGGCCCTGGAGATGCAGCCGAGGGTGGGGCGTTGGGACAACTTCTGGTCAAGTTGGAGATGTCAACGTACTACGTTGACGCGGCCAAGAAACTATAAGCAGTTTTTAGCGATAGTATTCGGGAGCGGGGTTTTAGGTTGATTAAACTACTACCTATGTTATTTATTCGTGTATATATGGGCTAAAGTTGGTGAATTGGGAAACAAACCGTGAGCTTATGCCCAGTGAAATTGGCGGTATCATCTCGCTATACAACAGAATTCCAAACCATCAAGTGTCACAAATTAACCGCCCATATCCACAATGCAAATTAGCAAAAGTTATAATCAACTTATTACTAGTACTCTAGAGGATTTTCCAAAATCAGGAATAAAGTCAAATTGCGCCGGTCTACTAGCTAATTCAATAATTAGGTATCTATACAGTCCCACAAGCAAACACAGGTCATGACATCGTGAAGCCTTCAACAGTAAATGTAATTAATAAATATATATGCAGAAATTGTAACCCAGAGACTCCTTCCCACTGCCCTCAAGCAAACAAAAAAAAAAAAAAAAAATAGATATCTTCTTAGAAAAGCCAGCCAACGGGGAATATCATAAACAGAGCCCCTCCGACGCTACCAATTATCAACAAAGCAACGAGGAATCCTGGTGGCGAAATGGTATTTAAACCCACTGCATCGAACGCCGGAAAGCCAGCCGTGAGACTTTGGCGGAGGATTTCCTTCTCTTCTTCACTGAAAGTTACGGTCTGAACCTCAATGGTTTGCGTGACTTCTCTGGGGGCGAGTGATATCGATCTCGCTGAAAGTCCATCGCCTGATAATTCGATCTTATCGTCACTAATGCCCCATTGGCGCGACTCATCAAACAGAGGAGACTCTGGTTCGACTATAAATGCTGCAAGTCGTTTGCGAAGAAAGCCGTTTAGAGAGTCGAGGAGAGATGCCTGTTCGGCATGGTGGCTTTCTTTGAGTGTCGTGATCTGGCTGACTTCTTGATTTGAATTCGGGATTGGGCCAGCCAAGGCTTGTAGCCCAAAGATTCCAGCAGAGAGGAAAATTGATAATGTCTTGAAAGAAACCATTTGAAGTTTTTTTTTTTTGAAAGAGTGTCGTGAGTTGATATAATATTAAGTTTGAAAGTCGGAAGGTTGAATGAAACGAATGTAAAGAACGACTGAAAGCTTGACTGGTCAACAGCCTGTGTCACGCTGCTCAGCAGGCGTAAATGGAAAGTACTTCGAGTACCGAATATAGGATAGATTTTCGAGGTCTTAAAAATCGTAAACCAGGTAAAATCCCAAGTTTAGGGGTCACATTGTAGTTATATAGAACTCGGGCGCCAAATGATGTGCCAACAAATGCACAGCTGTCGGAGAATAAGGCTGCATCGGTCATCGAAACTATATTTCAGATAACCCCAGTATAAAGTGGCATGATATTTGAAATCACTTAAAGGCGAGGGGATGTCTGCGCACTAATTATGTTCCGATTCAAGAAGCCTCGCAATGGATCTGGAACGGTTTTTTCTTCTTTCCATCTGTTCCGTAAAGTTTTCCCGTCCCCGTGGTTCATAAACGCCCATTCTGTCAATCTATCTGCGCACCATATGGAATCCGCCGGTGCCGGAATTTTTCTGGAAAATGGAGAAAGCTTAGCCGGTTCGATCTAGGTCAACTGCTGGCTAAAACGTCTTTAAAACTTCTTCCCCCCGTCCAGCGTAGGCATTTTTATTTCTCCCGGCCAAAAGTCAACGAGAGGTCGAGAACGTGGCGTTGAATGTGTTGATATGGGGCTCGGAGATGTCGCACCATGTTTCGAAAAATGCGACAGGGGCTTCTTGACAGAGCTTAGCAGGGTCAAGACGTATCATCGGATCCAAGAGGTTGTATTCTGCATTGCATCTAAAAATGGGATCTGGAATTAAAAGAAAATCGTCATTGTGCGTATTTTAGTCTTCGAGACTGTTGTGCATTTGAGCGACAGGCACGGCAGGCTATGGTTTTTGAGGTTGAGTTGCGTATGTGTTGGATCTTCAACGGTTGATCCCTGCCTCCTTTGTTCTGTAAAGAAAATTTTGCTCATCGCGAAGGATGTGGAATGTCGAACTTTCCTTTGAAGGGAGAACGTGTTCGACGATAGGTAACCGGATAACGATGCGGACACGTCGATTTTAATACCATAAGAATGCCTTGAGTTTAAGGAAGCCATTGGTCGAAACATCATGCGATTTGGTTTGCTCCTCGTGAAGCTATTCAACATCTAACACACCCTTGTCAAAAACCGTCCTCAACGCAGATTTCGTTGATGACTGGGTGTATCAAAATGACGACAGGTCTATCAAACCATGGTCTTTTGCAACGATTTTGAGCTCAATAGATAGCTAAATGATGGGACTACTAGGCAAACCAATAATGGGAGAAGTTGGCAAAATATTGACCGAGATAACAAGGATTTCTTTTGTAGAGGACTGGCTTTACATCCCGGTTCCTCCAAAAAGAAAAAAAAAAGAAGCCAATCTAATGCGGATGCATCTACTGCTTCTCAAGAAGGGATGAGAAGCCCGATGCGGGGGTCGAACCCGCAGCCTTAAGATTGCTTTAAGCCTCGAAGAGGATTAAGAGTCTTACGCTCTACCGATTGAGCTAACCGGGCAGATTGTAGCTTGTTGGAGACACGACAGTCAAAATTCTGTATATAATCCCTTTAGAACCTGCGATCTAGCTAGAAACCTACTGAACAGTTCAAGAGAACGCTTAGTCTGGGTCACTGTGGACGCTGAAGGCCAACAGTCTGTCAACGGGCAAATTTAGGCGGAGGTTTTTAGACTTTTGGGTAAATCTTTTCGGCTAAGGTTTCCAATACGTAACTGACTGACTTTAGACAAATACAATATGAAAGACCCCAAAGGAACTCTTAAACTGGTCCTACTCAAATTTAAATGCGAACCCATAGAATAAAATTTTCATATGGGCTGCCAACCCTCAATTGCTTAACGATACACTTCGAAAAATATATATTATCTTACACATGCGTCACAGTTATATACGTTATTTTTTATTCCTTTTCAGGGTTATCAACGTTAGCTAGGCCTGTTTGAGTATAAAACTTTGGAAATACCGGATAGTCTGGGGAACACCAAGTGGTCCGGAAAATTAACACATGAAAAGCGACACCTCCAAGACTACTAATATGAGATGACAAAGCTGTTTGAATTGGCACGAGATATAGCATCCCTTACGTGGCGGTTACTATTTATAGTATCTATTGATGCAATCCTCTATACATCATTGCGTTTTCCCTTGCATTGGGACAAGTCTTATTTGAACCACAACATGGCAAGGGTATTGAGGAATAATTTGTAACACTCGTAGGTCACAGCTTGAGGTTATCACTAATTGAGGGCACGGCTCCCCGATGTTACAAGTTTGGTCCAGTAAATAATTATTGGTAAGGACCGACACCATCCTCTCGTATGCCGGAGCATGATTTTCTAAAGTATAGACTACCCGAGGGCTAACTCTTTGGTGTATAATCTGCAGGAGAAGCTATAGGGATGTCAAAATGTCGATATCACGATGTTGGTGATATATCGATTTGTATTTGATTTCAACAAGTGATATTACTAATTAAGGAGTGTATGTAACAAGAAGGGAAACAAAAACTCCTCCCAATGCTATGCTTTCAGTTATGTATGTGTATGATAATCATGAGTCGTGATGCTGTGTTTCCGAAGTTAACCATCTTTTATGGCTTGCTTGTAACGTAGCTGGTCGAGGTCGTGTCACCAATAGTGATCGTAACGTTGTATGTGACCAAAGTCTGCGCATCGGCGGCGCCAAAGAGGGAGAAAATGGCGGCAGTGTATGTCGCCTTGCCCTTTGGAGTGGTGCTTGGGATCGAGGTCCAGTGTGGAATACGGGTGAGAATGTTGGATTTTTCGGGTCCAAGGTACCACGAGTCGGTGACCTGTCCGAGGGCTCCTGGGAAACCCTTTCCGGGTGCGACACCGACAGCAATGGCGATATCGTCTAAGAATTATCACATGATTAGTAATTTGTAAAAATGTAACCTTGACTTGCAGTCAAGCAAAAGCACTGCGGGAACACATACCAACTGATTGGATGTAGTTTGCAGTATTGATATAAAAGTTGAACCCATCACCTGGCTTTATGGTAGCCGGGGCCGAAATGCCAGTGATAATGGCGGAGGAGAGGCCGAAGGTGGCAGCGGCAGAGATGAGGAGGCTTGAGAAATGCATTGTGTTTGAAGATATTAAATGCAAAGTTGCTCGAGGCGGTAAAAGTATCTGAATTAAATTATTCAAAGAGATTTGGAGACTAATTCCCACGAGTAATGTGTAGATGCGATCGGATGATGATGAGAGTAAAGAATTTATAACAGTTCTGGGCAATGCTACGACTTTATATACACAAGTGGTATCAAAAGAGCAACACCGTAGATGACGAATGCCAGGGCCGTGGACAATTTTCTCCTTCGATATACCATCTTTACTACGGCTGAATGTCACAAAAAGCAAAACATGACTAAACGTTATTCACCTATCACCATATGAAGTCATGATTAGGAGATGCGGGGAGATACTATCCCGAAGGAACCGCACGACTAAAATGTTGGTGGGAATTTTGGATCGGCTGAGTCCATGAGGCTCTAGGGACGATCCGATGCTACCCTGTGGGGTAACATGCCGCCGGTAGTGGCTGAATGCTAAGAATAGCCAAGAATGGTGCCATGTGCAACTGAGCCCGCGGAAAAAATTTAGAAGCCATAGAAATACTAACCCATGGGAGAATCCGAATACCTCTGTCGTTCGGAGGGTAATGCTCAAGATGGAAATCCTTTAGGTGGCCACCGCACCCTAGTGGAAAGCTGAATGTTGGATGCAACGTTGTGCTATTCTAAGCATCGACATCGCTAACCCGTGATGGATATTGAACTTCATAGCATCAACGATTAGACGTAGAATAATCTGAACTAAAAGAGACGATCGGGAAATTTTAGGCTTTATGATACCAAAGGCTCCACACTGCGGAGCTCGGAAATATCAAGGCCTAACCAGCACTTGCCGAGACAAAAACCCTGTACTTACATTCGGTTAAGATTTTCGATGCACACTTTTAAATTTTGACTTGGCTTGCACCAACCCGATTCAAAAACAAGCGTTGCAAGCTCTGCTCAAGAATTGATTACAATTCTAGGGTGGGCCATATAAACGTCAGACCCTTGGCCACGTGCAGGATCTCGCATGCACGAAAGCTAACTACCATGGCACCATTGCGTTCGGCTGGACTGGTATCGTCCTATGAAGATCGGGATATGCGCATATAGAGGGCTTAGCAAAAAAAGTTTCGAATGCTTCAGGCTAAACTATTAACTGGTGCGACAGTCGAACACTCGAACTCCAAGTCCGCCGATTGATGAAGTATATGTTATAACGCTCCGCCCAATACATCTAGATCTTTGCTCAAACGTCTTGTGGTCGCTATTTTACTTTCTTCTCCATGTCCAGCCCTGGGCCCCAAATATACTGGAATGTATTTGTGCTCTTTTTGTTTCAGTACTGCCAACTTAGAAACTTTACGATTTTACTTCCCAGCTACCAATACCTCTAATCTGCTATTTCGTAGGTATACAGGCCGGCTAGTGCCTATACCAAATAAATAAACCTTCAATAAATCCCACAATAGATAAGCTCATGACAATTTATAGCTAACAAGTGAGTAGGTGGGCTAGTACATATAGTAGTGGGAAGCACCCCAAAATCCCCCCCAAGTTCGATCCCCTAATGAAAGTGTGTGCTACGACTAGAAACCATAGAAAATTTAAAAAAATCCTTATATTTAAAAAATTAATCCAGCCATAATGCAGTCATTTCGTACGGACCGGCAACATCACAATCGTATCTGCGACATGCGGTAGAACGTTCGAACAATTCTTAGAAATAGGAGACAGATGCCCTAGCGGTGCGAGCTTCTAAATGTTTAGCGGGAACGATTTTAGGCATGTAATTAAGTGGTTAGTACCAATATGACGGCATGGAATAGTGTCTAAAGCTGTAGGCCCTGTCCATGATGCGGGGAGGGATCCACAATCTAGCCGAGAATACTCCCAGCCGATACTCCGCGATGACTAATGAAATCCTATCCAGCAGCATATTAATATGTATTTTCCACAGATGAGCTTCAGGATAATTCGTTTCTGTTTAATTTTATCAAAATAAACGTCGAAAACAAACCCTTCGAGATTACAGACAATTTTTGCTGCAATTATGGCACCACTAAACGTTGGTTTCGTTGGCTACGGTTTCGCTACCAGATGCTTCCATCTTCCATATATTCTTCCAAACCCGGATTTAAGTGTCTACGCATTCCTACAACGTGCAGAAGCTCCGCCGGCGGGGTTCGCTGTAGAGAAGGGAAAACATTGCACTGTCGACTACCCTCAAGCAAAACACTACAGAACGGCGGAAGAATTCTTCGCAGATCCGAACATTGACTTGGTGATTGTTTGCACACACCATGATTCACATTTCGAGTTTGCAGAAAAGGCCCTCTTAGCTGGGAAAAATGGTAATATTCGAGATGGTTTGAAGTTGTTACTCGGGCGTACATGGTGGGCTAACTTGCGGGGCTTGTAGTGGTCGTCGAGAAACCGTTTACCCCAACTGCTGCTGAGGCGGACAAGCTCATAGCTTTATCTAGGGAGAAGGGCAAAGTACTCACTGTTTTCCAAAGTATCAATTCCCATAGAAATATACAATCTCGAAGGCTAGGATTATAATAACGTTTGCTACACGGATAGATAGGAGATACGACTCCGACTTCCGAACTCTCCATAGCCTTGCTGAAAAAGGTGTTTTTGGACAACTCACAGATGTCACCATCCACTACGACGTCGATTTGCCGCCTTGGGTAGCTAATTGGAAAGGGGGGGAATATAAACCTGGCGATGGCATCATGTACGGCTTAGGTTCTCATAGCGTCGACCAAGCCTTGTTGTTGATTGGGCAAACTCCAACTTCAGTCACGGGGTTTTATAGAACACTCAGGCCTTCGGATAGCGATATCGATGATACTTTTGTTATAATCCTCCAGTTTGGTGGAGATTTAAAGAAACTAATTGCTACGGTTACTACCAGCGTGGTAACCCCGATGGAACAGCCTTTGAAGTATTTAATTCGAGGATACGATGGAAGTTTCCTAAAGGTATGCACGTCAGAAACCCCGCCGCATATAGCTCTATATAATGTATATTTTAAGACATGCTAACACCAAGGATCATGATAGTACGGAGAAGACTCACAAGAAACACAACTACTCGGAGGCATGGAAAGCACAGATCCAAAATTCGGGGTGGAGGATCCTTCAATCTATGGCAAACTTTGCACGAAAACAAAAGTCCACGAAGGCCAAACTCTGGACAGCCGAACTAATAGATATATTGGAACGGTTCCAAGTTTGACTGGCAGCTACACGAAATACTACTCAGATCTTGCGGAGGCTCTCAAGACAGGAAAAGAGCCATTTGTGAAGGCTCAGCAGAGTAGAGACGGCATTCGTGTGATTGAACTGGCAAGGCAATCTGCGCAAGAAGGCAGAAGTATCCTATGGAGCTAGACTATTGCATTCAGCTAC